GTGTGTAGTGTGTGTGTGTGTGTTGTGGTGTGTGTGTGTTGAATGTGGTGTGTGTGTGTGTGTGTGTGTGTGTGTGTGTGTTGGTGTGTGGTGTGTGTGTGGTGTGTGTGTGTGTGTGTGTGTGTGTGTGTGTGTGTGGTGTGTGTGTGTGTGTGTGTGCTGTGTGTGTGTGTGTGTGTGTGTGTGTGTGTGTGTGTGTGTGTGTGTGTGTGTGTGTGTGTGTGTGTGTGTGTGTGTGGTGTGTGTGTGTGTGTGTGTGTGTGTGTGTGTGTGTGTGTGTGTGTGTGTGTGTGTGTGTGTGTGTGTGTGTGTGTGTGTGTGTGTGTGTGTGTGTGTGTGTGTGTGTGTGTGTGTGTGTGTGTGTGTGTGTGTGTGTGTGTGTGTGTGTGTGTGTGTGTGTGTGTGTGTGTGTGTGTGTGTGTGTGTGTGTGTGTGTGTGTGTGTGGTGTGTGGAGGTCTGCATCAACGTGGGCACTGCTTATGTAACCCATATTCAGACATTGTACATAAAGCAGACTGCAAGTATCTGATTTCAAGCTACATTTCAAATAGTATTAAATTCCTTTTCAAGAATACTGTAGCGATAAGGAGAAACTATTATCCACCGTCATTATTTCATTATTTACACTGCTTTTGATGTCCTTTAATCATTTGTACAAGTGGGCTGCAAGGATTGTCTTTGTTTAGGATGAAGGATATAGCTCTGTTTATCTGAGTTGTATTCTATTCACAAATACACTGTGGTGTGCATACAGTGAAGCATTCTTAATTTGCTCTGAACTGTGTGTAAACCACACTCTGCTTATGCAACCAGTATTCAACCATTGTGCATTAACCAATGGGCTTATAGGTATACAGTAAGTATTACCTCTACAGTTTATTCTATTGAAGATGTCTGTCTACAGTACATCATTAAAACCTCAAGCTCTCTGATGTTCCTGATAGAAAAGAGCAACAAGTAAATATGAGGGCAAATTATCTTTGGACATGCGTATTGATTCTTATGGAAGACAAATACCTTTTCAGCTTTCTTGAAAGACGGTACTCAAACAGCTCTCAGTGTGATGAATGAGCAAAGAAGAAATCCTCTACACAGCAGAATAACTAAGTCAGGTGCTCACCCCGAATTCCCATCTGAGATCAAAACTTCAATTATTATCCATATTGCACATCCTTGAAATAAATGTGTGTTTTTATTTTTCATTTAAGCTCCACCTCTCACTGTTTCTATGATTATTATTAACAGTAGCTTTCTTTGTAGCAAAAATGTAGTTGTCTGAAAGCCTCAGAGAGCCAGAGAGACAGATGGTTAATGGATAAGATCTGCTGTGGTTTGATGCCAGGTGTAATGACCTCCACATCACCCTACTGGCACAACAGGCAGTTTTCATTTGTGTGTCTCTGTACGAGTGTGTGGGGGTATATGCTTATTGTATGTGTGTTTGTTCCTCTCTGTTCAGCATGGTCCTTTGCTATCAAGCATATGGTGACTATTGATGAAGCTGTGCTAGACCTGTGTGTGTCTGTAGATGTGTACAATCACACGCTAAAATGTGTTTATTTATAACACATCAAATATATTTTTATATTGACTAATAAAAAGCACAGTTTTTGGGGTCCACACACACACACACACCAACCAACACACTGGTATGATAATGGCCTTGGCATAGTAGACTGAGATGATTTATTTTACTGGGCTTGTTTTGCTGTTTGTTCCAGATCAAAATAATGACCCTTTTTCTCTCATCATTTTCTCTTGTTAAATCATCCCCTTCTCTCTATTTGTTTGTCATCTTTATTTTCTTACTTCCTGCCTCCCTTTTCTCCTCCTCTTTCACCTTACCCCTCCTTCCCTTGTTCCTCCCACTATTTTCTACCCTCTATTAGCTTTCCCCTCATCTCTGCTTCCCACCTAAACGTCTAGGCAGTATATCAGTTTATCACCATACCAGCTTACTCCAACTATCACAGTGTTGAATACAATCTGTTGTTCTCGTCTCTCTCTCTCTGTCAGTTGGGCGGCGTGTTCTGTTGTTGGGGACTCACAGCATCCTCTTCCTAAAGCTTTACTCCTATAAAGACGTCAACAAGTGGTGCAGAGCAGCTGAGCAGTGTCAAGGCAAAGAACTGGCCAGGTCGCTGTCTTGTAAGTCACAAAAAACATGTGTGCAAAAATAATCATGTAAAAGGTAGTTTGCATACTCTCTTACATAACACCCATTGAGATTGTCTTTGCTCATTTTAATATCAGTTAGTATGTTTTGCTGTTACTGGCTCATGCTGTTACAGTGACATCTAATGGGCAGACAGTTAGATACTACATCTCTCACAATCCACAGTTAAGCACCACAGGAAATGTCCCAATACTGTGGGGAAATCTTGATTATGTAACACAAATATTGTATGTCATCATCCACACACTCATCATATTTTCTCTGTATTTGTATTAGACTTGGTATACCACCACAGACCCGACATACTTGACATGCGTGTTTTTGTATTCATTCTGCCTGCAGGTCCCTCAGCGCAGCACTTAAATGGAGGCGACCGTAAGGTGTGTTACCCCTGGTAACCTCACCATCAGAGGTACTCAAACACATCTAGTTTTTGTATGAAACTTCATCAATGATTTTTTTTTCTATCATGTGCCACGCCTCTTATTCACGTTACATTTTTCTCCCATATTTAACTAACTGTCACATGACCTCTTCTCCATCTCTGTAGACATCTACTACTTTGTCTTTGCTCCAACTCTGTGCTACGAGCTCAACTTCCCTCGCTCTCCTAATATCCGCATGAGTTTCCTGCTCAGGAGACTGTTTGAAATGGTGAGGAAATATCTCATGTCAGCTTGAGCCAGAAACCCCCCCCCCCCCCTCTGCTGCAGCTCTACTGTCAGAGAGGTCCCTTCTTTCCTCATAATGACTGATCTCAGTGAAGGCTCCTACATTTTTAAAAGCATCTCCCTAAAAGTACTTAAAAGCAAGAAGACCTGCATAGCTTTTGAGAGCTTAGTATGTGCTTTGAATTTTGATGAAGAACATAATGAAATTCCTTTTAAAGTAATTTGCTTATTTCAGGGAAAACAATGTTTTACATGTTTGTAGTTTTGGCACAAAACTAAAAAAGTTCCTGAAAGTGGAAAAATGTTGGTTTTCTTTTCTAATGTCATGTCTCTCACTTTAATGATGTGTGTCTTTGTCCTCAGCTGTTCTTCATGCAGATGTTAGTTGGTCTCACTCAACAGGTACAGTCTTATAATGGAACTAATGTGTTATTCTATATTTAGTCTGTCCATTCACATTTTGTAATCACATATATTCACAGTAGTTTGTGACCTGATTACATTGCCATAATGGCCAGAACAAAAAACATGAAAAAATGACGAGTAATCTTTAAAAAGGATGCCAATATGTAAAATTCACAGTTTATGGTGCGTGTCTGAAAAACTGATTTTTGCCGCGTTTCTTTTTCTTGCACCAGTGGATGATTCCCATCATTGAAAGTTCCATGAAGCCACTAGAGGTGAGGAGGATAGCGTGAAAGTGAAGCTGACAATTGATAAAAAAAATAACATGGTGTCATGTTTTTTTAATCACCCGGTCTCTCCTTTCTCTGTAGGACATGGATCTGACCAGGATGACTGAGAGACTTCTAAGATTAGCTGTATGTAAATACTCAAAATCCGTGAATACAACATGTCATAGTATGTGAGTCTATGACCAGCACAAAGGATGAAATGGAATAACACATAGATAGAGCATTACAAAGTGCAACAGTAGTATGAATAATCACACGATCAGAAGACCATCGGTTTTATATTTAAAATATCTATCAAGAATATATATGAGAGTATAGGCAGGAAACATGCTTGAGTTATGCCTCAGGCTTCTTCTTGATGTTAGTTTGGACAGTTCCTCTTAAATGTCTAATTTTTATTTTCTTCTTCAGGTTCCTAACCACTTGTTGTGGCTGATGTTTTTCTACGGGTTCTTCCACTCGTCTATGAACTTCTCCGCTGAGCTGCTGCGCTTTGGAGACAGACAGTTCTATAATGACTGGTGGTACGTTTCTGCATGTGTGTTTGTATCAGTGCATTTATACAGCGGTCCATTTATTTGCTTGGGTGTGCATGAGAATGGATTTGCAAGTTCACTCGTAAAAAATTGTAAAGTGTATGTTAGTAAATTATGTCAGTACTTTACAAAACGAATAGACCAGGAAGTCACCATATGTATGTACTTTTTTTATATTACTAAATCCATTTCATGACTCAAATGTGCTATAAAGTCATTTCTACTTCCTCATTTCCTGCATGACAATAAAGGTTTCACACTTTTCATTTTCTTCAATATTGATCGTACTGCCTAGATCCATTGTTTAAACCCTGTAATGCTTCTACACTCTATTTGCTGACTCCTCTTTCAGGAACTCGGAAACGGTGACATATTTCTGGCAGAACTGGAACATCCCTGTTCACAAGTGGTGTCTACGGTGAGTTATTCACACACTCACACACTGAGAGGGAGCAATTACATTTATAGAATTGAATATAGGGAACAGCAGCGGGTTTGATGCAGGGAGACAGACCTAACAAGACACACTGATATATTCTGGAAATTGATTCATCTGGCTGCTGGAGAGTAAGTGCTAGTAATAAATACGGCAGCCTGCAGCCAGTTCCACAGTCTCTAACACAGCAGCACGAGCGAAGGCAGCGAGGCTATATTGAATAAGACAAAGCAAATGAAATGCTATTTAAAGCCTATTTACTTTGAATTCCTGTCAGGGAGGCAGAACTACAGCACATAAAAGAGTTAAGATATTTCAACATCAGTATTATACAAACAGATACAATATATCCATTTCAACAGCTGTTCTTTTGTCTGTCTTGCAGCCACTTTTACAAGCCCCTGCTCAGGAGAGGATTTAGTAAAATGGTCAGCCAATCAGCTGTCTTCTTCTTGTCAGCTTTCTTCCATGAGGTAAGAGCTGAGACAAAGAACACTTTCTATTATATTACATCTGAATACACTGTACCTTAGGTCCTTAACGTCCTTAAAAATCCTCTTTAAGGAAGATGTTTATGTGCAATTTCTCTGATTATATTTGAAAGGGAACCACATTTCTTTGCTTTAATGATTTCTGTTTCTGTGTCAGTATTTGGTGAGCATTCCTCTCAGGATGTTCAGACTTTGGGCCTTCATGGGCATGATGGCACAGGTGAGACTCAACACACATATCACTGATGTCTGAATTTTTTTTACTGTACGATTTAAATGTAAGAAATTCCTTCTTAATGGTTGAAAAAGTTAAAGAAACAAGTGTAGTTGAGCATCTATGAAATACTTTATTTGAGAAGACCAATAATGGCTCTTTTGACTCCTGTGGGACATTTTAAAATGTGTTCTCATTGTTTGGCCTTGGCTTCTGTATCATTAACTTAATTTATAACCTCATTAGGATGACAGGGCATATTGATGTATCATGGGGAATATAGCAGGACAATTGCCAGTATAAGTGGTTCTTGGTCTTTGCTGACTTTGACAGTTTATTATTCATTAGAGAGTGCTGAGTCATAGACAACAAGAACAAATACACAAACAGAGAGAATGTGAGACTGTAATAAGTCGTAAAACCCCAATCACTCACTATGTTTAACTTTAATTTGCTTAACAGATTCCATTAGCCTGGTTTGTTGGTCGCTACCTGCGTGGTAACTACGGCAACGCTGCAGTGTGGATGTCAATTATCATTGGTCAGCCTTTCGCCGTCCTGATGTACGTCCATGACTTTTACGTCCTTCACTACAGACAGGAGGCTGACTGATGTGCACACACACACACACACACACACACACACACACACACACACACACACACACACACACACACACACACACACACACACACACACACAGCAAAGGTGCTTGTCGGGAAATGATCACATCCTGATCATAGTGTGTTTATAAGACACCTTGACCTTTGTATCTTCCTGCAATTGGTGTTTTTTCTTCCTGAAAAAAATGTTCAAGCTGACAGGATCTAAGAAAAGCTTACAGTTGGATTGTATATGTATTTAAAGTGGAAAATGTTAAATTAATGATTGAAAACAGCACTGTTACGTAATGAGGTAGCGTAGGTAAAGATTCACGTCTCCATGCAGTGACTGGTGCAGCTTTTTGCTCAGGTTATTGGTTTTCCAGTGTCTTTAAAACCTCTGATGGCCAATTTGGGCCATTTTCGGTTGTATATGTGGTACTGCAGAGAACCTTTCCTTTGTTTTACCAGAGAGGGTTTGCTCCTCCTCAGCAGTGTGCTTGGACAGGGTAATGTGGCTCAATTGTCAAGTTGACAACACACTTCAGGTGCCTTTGTAAAGACTGTGAAAGAGATTAATGTCCCACTACTTCCTTTTTGTGAGCAAAGGGGCCTTTATGTCGGGTTTTACTGTGAGGTGGAAAAATCTGTGTTTCATGGTATGATTTTAATAATGTACAATTTTCATGTTCTTTATGGTTTACTTTGTTGGTTGTGAAAAGGCCAGCCAACTGCATGTCTGTTTGTCCTTTTGTATGCCTAAAGTGCCATTTCTATAATACAGCACACACATCACATCAACATTTTACATATATTGATTTATTTTCGTTTTTTTTTTAAAACGTTTGAATGTGATATCAGTGAATAAATTAGTGTGTTTTTTTTTTTCATGGTACTGGCTTATGGACTTTTGCCAAGTAATGATGTCTAATTATGCAGCTAAATATAATGTGTGTCTGAAAATAAACATACAAAGATTTCCATTTGACTCTTACTTTTAAGAATGTGTTTTGTGCCTTTTTTATTTTTTTTCCATCACAATATAAATTAAACATTTCAGATCATAATTACGTAATCATCATATTTTAAGAACATTTAAACGAAGGCAAGATAACTGCCTCTGATTCAACAATGATCTACTGTAGTGTACTGCTGTATTTACGTACTATTCCTAGAACTACATTATCAAATTCAAGAACCTTTTAAGGACTTAGGGGAAGAAAAGCCTTACCTCAACACTTTCAGCCAGCAATTATTCTCATTGAATCTTCTCACCGCTCTTTAAAGGGCCCTTGTGCTCCAGTGGAAACAACGCTCTCATTTTAAAACACTACCTATGTATGTATTGTTCTGACATAATCTTAAAGGTCATTTACATTAACCATGTATCTATGCTGTGTCACCTTGAATTCTGAAATTCCCTCATAGTTTCAGTCAGACATCAAACTACATGTTAAATTACTTAAAACAGTCATAGGTCTGTGGTATTCATCATGATTAGGCTATCTACCAAGCTTAGTAATATCTATCTATAGTAGGTGAAAAACATTATTTTACCAATCTGCCACAATAATATGTTTGTGTGCGCGGGTGTACAGGCGCAGTGTGCGTATATAGATTTGTCATCTAAATGTGAAATGTGAGAACCGGACTGTGAACCTGTGTTATGTCAGCCTGACAGTGAATTAAACAGCAAGTCTAAGGTATATCACAGAGTTTCTGTAGCCGTGTTTACGTGCTCTCTGAGCATGTGACATTAAGTTAAACAATCATCAGTGAGGTTTAGAAAGGAGATGTGGCTTTGGGGCTTCAGGATGTAGGAAATCAGCTCACACTTAGAACATACTACCTTATGTTCTGCATAGGGCTGTCAAGTTAACGCGTTAATAACGCGTTAATAACGCGTTAACGCAAAAAAAAATTAACGCCACTAATTATTTTAACGCGATTAACGCATGTGTATTTGTTGTCCTCGGCCGCCGTAGTTTCAGAGCGCATCGAGTTTAAAATACCATCTACAAGCTGATGCTGACAGCCCCGCTCCTGCTGCCCGCTTGTGGCAGACCACACTTCCACGCTCACCGGCAGGCCCGGACTGGCCATCGGGAGGACCGGGAGGGTGTGTGTATGTGTGGCGCGAGCGAAGCACACCTTACGTGTTGTTGTTAGCATCTGGTGCTAGCTAGCTGAGCTAACGGATATAAGGAGCTGTTTCAATGAAAACAGAGGAGCGACATTTCGCCGACAACTGCGCCGAGCACTTGACTTTATGCAGGTAGCCAGACAGCACACTCAGCACGGATAGTGCCGCAACACAGCTCATACACACAGGCATATATGCCTTGAGCTGCACATAGCTCCAACGATCCTCCACACACACACACACACACACACACACACACACACACACACACACACACACACACAGTATTGTATGAGAGAGGTTCTAGGTTGAATTGAGGCGAATATTTGTAATGTTCAGAGGTTGTTGTGTTTAATATTCATGAGAATATTTGTCATTGTTCAAATGATAATAAACAAACATATAAAGCATAGTTGTCCACTCATATGTTGATAAGAGTATTAAAAACTTGAAAAATATCCCTCTAAGGTACATTTAGAACAGATAAAAAATGTGCGATTAATTTGCGATTAATCGCGATTAACTATGGACAATCATGCGATTAATCGCGATTAAATATTTTAATCGACTGACAGCCCTAGTTCTGCATCAATCCTTTTCTTTTTTGATTCTTAGAATTAAGATTTATATAATCTGCAAATTGATTTGATCCACTGTGTAGGGAAGTATGCTGCGCTAGTGTTGGATGTATAGGCTAATTTAAAGACTTTCTGTAAACAAGCACACGACTGGTATTGACAAAGTTTGGAAAATGCTGACCTACTGTGTAAAAGTAAGGTGGTATTATTATCAAAAAACCTAGACCCAGCATGTTCAGCATCACATTGTAGAAATCATACTATGTCATTTCTTTAGGGGTCATTATAGTCTCACTCTGTTGAACATAAATACTCTGAAGTGCTGGCTGATGGTTTATAAGCAGTGAGATGTTCTGCTTGCATCTCAACAAGAAGGATTTGTGCAATTATTTGTACTTGCAATCAATTCCTCACGTCGGTCCGCCACCAGTGCCAAAAACCTAAGCTTTCGCTGCAGGACAACCGTAATTCTTCATCCATCCCCGTCTCATTCCTGACAAATAAACCACGAGACAGACGACGGGGGAGTGGAATAAAAAGTACAGAATCCTCGCCATTTCTCGTCTATCATCAATATTCCAAAGTCCTGATCTAAACAAAGCTTTCCAGTTCCCCTGGTTGGATTCAGTCACACATTTCTCCAACTCTCCCTGTACCTGCACATGCAAACATATAATGATCAATCTGTCATTTCAACAACTATGCATACAGACAGATATACTGTACCCACTCTGTCTTCCAATTTATTCTTTCTTTCACACCTCCTCTTCCCACTCTCTTCTTTCCTTTCGGTCCCTATCCTGCACCTTCTCTTTGTGCTTGTCCTCAGTAACAGGTTGATCCATGGCTCTTCTCCTGACATCCGTTATTCCGGATCTTCCTGAGGAACGCTGACAATCTGTGAGTGATGATGATCCTCTAGACAGGAAACCAGGAAACACAAACCTGTCTCATTCTGTGAGATTGATCGAGCGTAGGTCCAGAGACATGTTATAAAGACACTGAGACTTACATTTCAACATAAGTTTTGGTCAGGCATTTGTTAATTTAAATTCATATATTTAGATGATACACCAAAACAGTTATACAGTTTGTCCTAAATATCAGTTTAAAGGACATACACCTCATACAAACCCTGACATTTATAATGATGTTCTTCCTATTCACTGATTCCTCAGATTTGACAAAAACACACACATTTTCTGGCAGCAGGAAAGAGATGGGACATCCGGTTAAATTATTTGTTGCTTTGGTCAGTCCTCTGCCCCCTCCTAAGATAACCTCTACATTGTAGAGATTCAGTTTATGTAATATAGTTATTGTAGAGTCTACAATAACTATATTACATAAACCGAATCGTAGTGTTTATTTTAAAGTTTCATACGCTGATCTTATGTTCAGTTTCAATCACTGATTTTTCCACCATTCAACACAGTGGAGGTTTTATCATTTTGATAGAAGTTATCAGGATGTTTCTAGTTGGTTCACTGGCATACACAAATGTCAGAGTCAGGATAAAAAGTCAATCAAATCAGTTGCAAATCACTCAGCTAAACGAGATTCAAATATCTGCTTTAAGATCTTGTGTTCTCGATTTATTATAATATATCACTGTGAACCATGACAAGGCACTGGTCATCGCAAACATTTTTGATGCATTTTTGTTTGTGTACATATGTACTTGTCTATTAGAAAAAAGAGAGCTTTCTGTCTTTGTCACCCAGTTCAATCACTTTTCATCTCAATTCAAATGTATCATAAGTTACAGATTGGGGCCGACTAGATCAATTTCCTCATTTCCTCATCAGACACCTCATTTATGGTATTTTAAAATAAAATGCATCGACAACATATTCAAATTTAACAATATAACAATTGATTTTTCCTAAAATTGAAATTAATCCAATCAAATCCAACTATTTTTATAAAGCACTTTAAAACCTCCAGACCAAAGTGCTGTACATAGAAATACAACATCACATAAATTAAAGGAAAATATTATCTTTATATAATTTTTTGGCACAGAAAAAAGATTAAATATTTTCCCTCTAATTTCTCATGAAATGTAATGTGCTGTGCAGGATTTCACAATGATTACATACCATAACACCAGCTCCATTCACTGATTTAACACGCAGACCCTCCATCACTTGTGTTTTACAGTAGTCATTTAAGCATAAGCCTTAAACATAACAGTGTTTGATGGTTTGGAAAATGCATGGACCCTCACTGTATATAACATATTAATGTATGAGCTGTGCTTTATGCATTGCGTGCCCAAAGATATCTGGTGTGCGTAGATTTGTGCATGTGTGCTCCACAATTGGTGTCTTGTTATACTGTACATGGGCATGCATGTGTGTGACGCATAATGTAAACACATATTAAGACTTCCTGTCTGAATACCAAACTTAGGGAAGATTTAGAGTGAGAGGGAGGGAAGTGGGAAGAGTAATTGAAAGGAGAGCGAGAGACTGAGAATGATGCTCATAAGGAAAGGAAAAGAAGGCGAAGAAGAAGAAAGACACATTGGAAGGAGTGAGATGTACAACAGTAGAAGAAATATCTGAGGATGCTTTAGGAATGGATGCACTGAGTAACATCAGACAGGCTGACAAAGTGACAGAAATGAAAGGGATGCACAGATCTGAAGAAGTGTGTTGATGACTACAGGAGACCGGCATGACTCAGGAATCTGAGAGAAGAGACAAACCTGACCCACAGACAAGAGAGGTGGACATTCTTACTGAAAGGCTGAACCTGCTCCAGACTAAAAAAAAGCGACTGACGTGAGTGGATGTTCAGAGATGATACAGGGGTGCACAGGTGAATGAGAGTTAAAGCATCCTCTTTTGATCGGGAATCACCTGGTTGGACACTTGGACATGAGGAAATATCAGCTTCACTTGACACAGATTTAAGCTGTCCCTGGGTTAGTTTGGTGGTTTGACTGGTTAGTCGCTTTCTTTAGAGGTAAGTGGTTTTCAGCATTGGATAAACTGTCCTCAAACAGTACATTGTTTTTCAAAGAGAAAAGGGGAGACGTAGCTATCCTCACCGAAAATAGCACAATTAAATTACAATACCGAAAATCATTATAATAGGGTCTTAATAAGTCCCTGTCACAAGTAAATTGAGTGCATAACTGTTGGGTTATATAGACTTGATGAGCAAGCAACACTATCCATTCATTATATTTTAATATTTCTTTGGTTTTTTATGCATTCTTCTTTGTTAAACATTAGGCTGTCTTTGGCTCCTTTCTGCTGTAACAAATGTAAATTTCCCCTCTGTGGGATGAATAAAGGTATTCTGATTCTGATTTACCAGAAATTGAAACAGTTATTATCAGGGTTAAAAAAAAAGTATGATCATATTCCATCCCAGAGTTTGTAACATATTATGCAATCACAGTACATGGAAAGACCCCAGTGAACTTTCATTGCAAGTGAAAGTATCTCTTAAAGGTCACCTATCATGCTATTTTTAGGCAATAGCATAGGTCTCAGATATATACAAATATATAAAAAACATGTCTGAAGTGTTTTGAACAAAATACCAAACAGATAACCCATTCTAGCCATGCCTCATACCCATGGTCATGGATGTATAATAAGAACTGGATACAGCGTGGGAGGCGGGGCCTCGTTCATTCCTATGAGGGTTGCTCAATAGCGCATGAAGACAAAATGGCCCAACTTTTGAGAGAGCAAAACGTCACGAAAGTATTCATATAATCATATAATCCATTCTTATTGTGCATCCATGGGTAAAGGTAAAACTCATATAGTACCGAACACATCACATGAACGTGCCAGGCGGCGCGATCCCGTGGGTTAGATCCGCGTTCATAATGCAGAGGAAAATAACTCTCAGAATAACGTTATTAGCACATTTTACAACTTGAGGACCGAATGTTTTTAATAAGGGCTATACAAATGTTCATACTGGGTAGTTTATTTAGTTTAAAAAAAATGATCCAACGATTTACAGACGTCTCTTTCCCAATGTTAGTCAATGGGAAAAAGTATTTCCGGGTCCAGTGACTGATACGGAAGTGTAGTACCGCCGTTTGGCCACAACAAATATTTTTCTCAGAGTCCGGCACACTTCCTGGGGGCTTGCTCATACCCCTCTATTTCACTTCCTGTTTCAAAAGTGCTGATTTTGGGTATAAAGCTTTAAAAAAAAAAAAGAATTGATCAAAAAAAATGAGGGGGCTGAGCTCATGTGGGACCCGGCAGCTACTGTCTAAACTAAATACTGCCGTGATGAAACGCCATATCATGGATTATCAAGGATTATTTCTGAAACAGTATGGAGCTCAAATTATACCACAAGGTGAGTTCCTTTTTATATCCAGCTTCTTCACACACATGCTCTACAGGTTAGCTCTGAGTGTTAGCGATGCTAATGTAAACACCGACCATATTAGGTCCAAAACAGTCGGCATTGTTTCTGATAGCAACTTTCTGATAGTGCCGTGGGTCCACATTTCCGATATTACGTCATATCGGACGCAAATCTGGATCAGCTCCGTTGTACCCACCTTTTTAGAGATTTGGGTACGGAGGAAAAGAGAGAGGGTTTTATTTTCTGACGCTGCGTGAGTTCCCTGACACACCGGGGACACATATTTATGTATGAAAGACATCAAAAAGTGCATTTTGCATGATAGGTCTCCTTTAAAATGACAGTTACAGCAGCAACCAACATTCAGTTTATCTTGAGGGGCTTTCTGTGAAGCTTTAATTTGATAGAGGGCAGCGTGAGATACATCTTCCACTATTCCATCCTTTCTTTCTCCCTTTCTATGTATTTCTGTCTTTCAAAAAATCTCACACAGACACACATAACCGGGACTCCCACGGTGCTGGAATTTATTTGGACAGTGTTATTTGCGATCTGCCCCTGGGCCCTCTGCGCTCCCCTCAGTATCACTTTACATTCATTGCATCACCACTTTCTTTGATGTCGGAAGAGGAAGAGCAACAATGGGATAGCTGCAGTGACGCAGTAGATTGATATTGTATGATCTGACTCAAATCAGAGACCTACAAAACCTCCAGTATTCTTATTTTAAAATAGTGCCTCTGTCAAAAAACTTGAGCCACATCAGAATGGTATTTGGTATATGCATACAGGTTTTATTGTTTAACCAAAAGCTGATTTTGCTGGCAATTGTTTTGGCCAAATAAACTTAACACGTTTCAATACAATTCACACAATGTAGTAACACAGACACAGTAACCCACTGCTGGCTCAACATTTTCTTTAACTTCCTTTTTTTGTGCTACTGAAGCCTTGAATAAACATGACATTTCATTTGGCTGACGCTTTTATTCAAAGCGACTTACAATAAGTGCAAAAACCATAAAGATTCAAACTAAAAACAACAAGGAAAGCGCAGATATGATATATATAAATCTAAACAAGAATCAACAACCATTCTAGTAGTTCTGCGAGGCTGTACTTTTGCTAAATGCTAACAGATTTTAGATCACAGTTGTAGTTTTTTCCATTTTTGTTTTTATTGTAGTTTTCACCATAATTTATCAATCCCACAGAGAAAATGCAAACGACCATCGTTAAATCAAAGATAATACAAAAAACTAAAATAAAGTATTTATGTTACGTTTAAGTTACGTTTCCTTAATCCTTTGTCTCAGTTTGGTCAACTAAATCTATCGTCCTTTCCTTGGTCTCTGTCGCTGTTTTTGGTCCTGAATAATGTCCCTTTATTGTGTCCATCTGTGCCATCCAACGAGTTCCTCTAAATTTCTATCCAATATTATTGGGAAGGGGAGTCTGCTCAACCCCATTTTGTTGAGAGTTAAGTTTACTTGTTTACAATGCAATTTCCTACTTTAGCTAGGTGTACTCTAGGACACCATGACATCTCCTTTCGATGTAACAGAGCTCTTTTATGACCACATATGCTTTAGATTTGGATTGTTAGGTCAGGATATGTTGGGACTAAACAATTATCTCACCAAACACCAGCTTAAGCAACACATTACTGAACAACACAGGAATGTATTACTTGCGATTGTCATTTTGATCTAAACAGATGAAGTGAGTAGTTTAACACAATTTCCCTAAGGCAACGCTCATAACACTCGTTAGCTCTGTTAATGATGATGAACTAGCTCCCAGTAAGTTGAACAACATCAGGGGATGTCACTGTGAAAACACCCATTTATTTCCTTCAGTGGTCTTAATGTTCTCTGGCTGGACTGATCTTGTTAATGCAGATGAATCACATTATTCATGCCTCACCCTCAGCTGAGCATGTTATTCTCATTAGCTTGAATAGACTGCATTTTTCATCAGCCTGATGATTGTTTTGCTACGAGAGATTACTTGTGAGCCACGAGCGTACACAACACAAACTCTAGTCACATGAGCAATTAAACCACATTTGTTATGGAGGGAGAGGGGAACATTCCAGCTTCCAGACAATTTTGGGATGACACTCATTGTGATGCTTCATGGAAAATATGGGGTTTAACCTTATGTGACCTGGCCATTTTTATATTCTTAATGCAAATGGATTTCCCATGAGTTTGGCTCGATCAAAAAGCTTCTGCATTTGTGTCATAGTTGTCAACCCATACTCATAACTATGTCAAAGTGAGTGATAGTGTCTAAATCCATTTTCAAATGATATCCCATTGGGATACACTTCATGCGGCACAGTCACTGACTGCCCTCTGCTGTCTATAATAGTCACTCCTGGTACTACTTCATATTTGCATATTTCCCTCTTCACAACTTAAAAGACCATATGTAAAGGGTGATGTAGCTAACCTGAATGTCTAATTTTATAGTCACATAAAAGCAGGATTTTGCTTGTGCACTCAAATTACCAACATACTGTGAAATGTAAAAAAAAACATGTCACGTTTTGTCACACTGACATCTGTTACAGTTTCACATTTGATGTCATCTACATTTTTCTTTACTGTAGCTTTTCTTCCACCTTGCAGTTATTTAACAATCCTCAATAGCAGTTTCATAAAGTGCCTTATTTATCTTATAAATGTGTTTACTGAGGTTGTCAAAGTCTCAGAGCTGCACCAAATAATTGAATATAAACGTATCAACTCTGTGATCAATGTATCCAGTTTATTCAAATACACGCTGTTTATCAGAAATTAGGGCAAGAATGAACCTTCTTCCTCCGAAGTAAATAAACACAAACTGGCCATTTGGATCATGATTTAGGAAAGAACAAATTACTCTTTGTGGTTCACATCTGTTTTCATCTGAGCTATTTAAATGAGATGAACACACACAGGATTTCTTCTTCTGTAATGATAGCCATGAAAAGGTCACATCTTAGCCAGAAAAGGGGTAGATGTATTTTTGCTCTGTTTTGTTTTTTTTAAAAAAAAGGTTAAGATGTATACAACTATGAGTTCAAATCTACATTGACACAAACTGCTCTAAATAAATAAACCCCTCGGAGAAACATTGCTGCAGGCATAAATAAATACAATTATATTATAAATAAATGATCTGAATAAATCAGATATTAGTTTAAAGTGGCCATGCCAACAGGAACAACCACAGTGCAGCAAGGGTGGTCTGGGGGGAAAGGGGGCAACATAAACATGTGTGTTTTATATATTCAATTATATAAAGCAAATATTATAAGTATTGGTATGAAGTAGTCTTGCTTAATCATGAAGGAACCCTATATCGCATGGGGCCCCAGCATGACCCTAACAAAGCAACTGATACAAAAAACCTTTTTTCGCAGATTATACAGCAACATTTGCATTGACCTTCAGTCAAATGTATTTAAAAAACAACTTATTAACTGAATTTTGGTTTATTAATGTGAGCCCTACATTTGCACAAGGTTAACATTCTTCCCACAGTCTTGTTTAAGTGTGTATGTGTTTCCATATTGCCTAGTCTAGTGAATGCCAGGATAGCTAGCAGATTTACATTGTAGCAACTTTAAGCACATTTCTGCACGTTGCAACTAGACTAAATGTCAAGTAAATGTTAATTGTACAACAACAATGTGTGTTTTTGTCCGACAGTTTCTGCAACAACCTTGGATCAATTTCATCATCCTAACCATCACATAACTACGTGCTTCATCATTATCGCCACCAACATTATCCTCATCATCAACATCATAATTACCATTATTATAATGGACTTCAACAGCACTGAGTCGTGGCTTTTGATCAATACTTCATTTCCCACACTGCCTGTAATCGGTAGTGCCAGTAACAGGAGTGGCATGGAAGCATATCTTCAAAGACTGGCTCATTTAGACGAGGGGCTCTACCATGACTTTTACGGCCTCTGGATCGCACTGATGGTCATAAACTCTCTCATTTTCATGGTAGGCATTTTTTGGGAGCACACATAGTACAGATAGATATACATCTCAAGTTTCAACTCATAGTGACCATGCCGTCTGCACCAACATCCCAATCCTCTCTCCTCTCCCACAGGTTGGTTTGGTGCTCAACATACTCGCCCTTTACGTTTTCTGTTTCCGCACCAAGCAAAAGACCACCTCAGTGATCTACACCATCAACTTGGCAGTGACGGACCTCTTGGTGAATCTCTCTCTGCCGACTCGCATCCTGCTCTACTACAGTGGAGGGGCTTGTCTCACCTGCTCCTACCTGCATATCTTCAGCTACTTTGTCAACATGTACTGCAGCATCTTGTTTCTGACCTGCATATGTGTGGACCGGTACCTCGCCATCGTGCAGGTGGGTTTTGCCTGTAGAATGGTAACAGAATTGCTCTCAAGCCTAAAAAGCTGATATTTCTGACTTTAAAGGTCACCTATTATGCAAAATCCACTTTTTCTTGTCTTTTATACATAAACATGTGTCCCCTCTGTGTAAAGAGATTCTGAAAGTTTCAGGAAAAAGATTAGCTCACTTTTGATCCATTTATATAAAAACCTGTCTGAAAATGAGCTGATCAGATTTTGGCCACTTTATGATGTCATAACGATTTTTTGGTTTGTGTAACCATTAGCCAATAACCAACCAAGGTAACCCCCCCCACCTTGTCACCTGAATCTCCTCCTAGAGCACCATTGTGTTCTTTTTAACCAAATATCTCTCAGAGGGGCGTGGGGAGTGGCTCCTTATTTTCATCTAAAGTAAAAGACAGAGAATCAGCACTTTTGAAACTGGGCTGACACAGAGGCGTTTATGGGATGCTACAATGCATGATGTGTTCAGAGACATGCTTTGTATATATCTGAGACCTATAATATATTGATGAAAAACAGTATAATAGGGGAACTTTAAATCCAGGAGGAAACTACAGATTTTCTTTTGTCCTTGCAGGTTGAAGCTTCCCGTCGGTGGAGGAACTCCAGTGTGGCCAAATGTGTGTGTGTGTCAGTCTGGCTGTTTGCCATCGTGGTCACCTACTCCTTTCTTTCCACTGCCTTCCAGCACCCGGGCTGCTGCCTCTCAAAGCTCCTGTTTCTAACCATCACTGAGTTCTTTCTACCGCTCATCATCATTATGGTCTTCACGGTGCGGATTATGTGGGCACTAGCTGACCGCCGCCTTATGCAGCAGAGCAGGTATGATCAGTACTATGTTACCAACACACACAAGCAAGGAAGTACATAATATCATGCAGTTTAAACATGTTGTGTGAAGTGTCCAAGCTTCGTATACAAGATCATACATTAAAAGTAAAAGGACTGAGATAAATTGACTCACATTTGCATCATTGGCAAATAGTGTATTGGATGCTGATGGTGTAATGGTGGTTTTAACTGTAATTTCACAGGGATAGGAGAAGGAGGGCTGTCCAGCTGCTGAGCACAGTGTTGATCATCTTCACTGTCTGCTTCACACCTTTCCACATCCGACAGGTGAGTGAGAGACGGACGTGACACATTCTTTTAAAAGTATTACCATCATGTTTTTATAGCCAATTATCACTCAAGTAGCCCAAAGACAAAAGGGTCACAAGATGATCAGGATTTTTCACTACGCATCCTTCCAATTAACAGAAAAAACATTATATGGTAGAGATCATACTCATACCATATCTCTTACAAGTGTGATCTTTTTTTTAGTGGTCACAAACAAAAACTCCTTTCTTATCAAGACGAGTAGATACAAATGTAACAACATGTTGTAAGTAATCTCATGACTGTGTTCTCTTCTTGTGTTGCAGGTGGTGGTGTACTTCCACCCTGAAATGCCTCATCACGTGATAGCCTACCACTTGACTGTCACCCTCAGCAGTTTGAATAGCTGCATGGATCCTGTCGTCTACTGCTTTGTCACAAATAATTTCAAGGTGAGCCTGGAGTACTTTCCTTCTCACCTCACTTTATCCAATGTATCCTATTATCCTTCCTCTCTGCCACCTGTCCATCTATCCATCCATCCTTCCCTCTGGCCATAATTTGTCCATCCATCCATCATACATTCACTTATTTACTCATCGATTCACTGAATAATTTACATCTCTCTACTCCCTTAGGCTACCATGAGAAATATTTTCCGCCGCGCTGAGCCAGAGCAGACTAGTGGCGACATCATCAGCATGCAGCACAGCTCCAAGGCATCAGGGGGGACGGCCAACGCCATCACTAATAACATGATCAAGATGACCAAGATCCCCCCTACACTGCAGAGACAATCTGGGGAATAACCACACTGTTAATTCACTTTCACAGGGGGTGAAGACAACCGAAAGTTACTGACATGTCACACTCGCCTCAGGAAAGGTGGCTGATATTTCTGCACTCAGAAGAGCTCAGGAACAACAGCTGATAATAATATTAATAATAATAATAATGATAATAATAATAATAATAATAATAATACCAACCTTTTTTTACTTCTTAAAGGAATTACAATTGACAAGAGACCATTTAGTCTGCAACTTCACATTATCATCTTCTCAACTTTGGACCTGAAAACAAAACATTTATATTATATTATTCCTTGAATATAAAATCCACATAATACTAAATCTAATTCATGACACAACTTACTTTATGTAATCTTAAATACTGTACTTTGATTAATTGTCTAACATTGCTTGCCAAAAGTCGTGGAATTAGGAAATGCTGATGTTATCGATAGAATAGGCTATTTTGAAACTGATACCTGCCTGGGAGTGGAAGCTACAGTACACTGACAAACAGAATTGGATCAACGTGGAGGACTTCACAATATACAATTGGAGTACAATGTTAGCAGATCAAACCTGAATGTCTTTACCATGGGGAAGGATAGATTTTTGTTCATTTTTGCCTAGATAACATAGTTGCACTTCAGAATGATTACCACTTTTGTGCAGCAGAGGGCAACATTGCTCTCTCTTTCAAAGACCATTATAAGACTAAGAAAAATCCAACTGTTTGGGCGACTGAAACAAGCTCCAACGTGAATGTTTGGGTTGTAAATATTTTTGTATTATTACAAACTGTATTATGATGTGCTATTAAGTTAACAATTGATCAAAACAATTCACAAATGGAGAAAGTATTGGGGTAAATAAAGGGGCGTTCAGATGATTCAAAGACTTTGCCTTTCTATGTATTGATCTGGTGCTTTCCTCATTTTGGACAAAAATAGGTTATTTTCCGTATCTCACTTCGATGGGATTAAGTTCTAGGGAATAAGTGAAACATATATAATACCATTTTAATCAAGCCCTCTTTGTCTGGTTCTGCAAATGTAAAACCAGTTTTATTTGTAGCCTATTGTGGTTAGAACAAATAACAAAAACCAATAGGCCTACGTTAAATGTCCCATTATCGAAAGTATTATTATGATACCACTCTTCAAATCATAGATGTGATCAATTGTCATTAATATTACTTTAATTTATCAGTAGCCTATTGGTATTATACATTTAATTTTAATTTTAATAACATATTTATTTCGGGCATTGTAAAAACAACTACAACGCAGTGAAAGGAACATCACAATCAACCCTGCCCTTTTTGAAATATTATTGCAATAACATTGAGATTTAATTCATAAATGAGTTATAACATGATATAAAAGTAAACCATTATTCTTTTTAATTCGCCGGTTTAGTGTCCGCCCACTGTACAGTAGGTGAGTAGCTTGGTGATGTGATTTGCGTCAACCACGCCCCGCTTTGTTACTGTGGCAACCAATGAGATTGATGAGTGTACAGTGGTGTACAGTAGTGAAGCAGATGGCCCCTCAGTTAGCTGAAAAAGGTTAGCCAGATTGCTAACCTAAACCAACTTTTACTGTCACGTTATAAAAACATGACAGACGCGGAACTACTTTGACTTCACCTTGGCGGAGTGTAATCTATGGTATGTAACATGTTTCTGTCTTTAATATACTGGCTCTCTATGTATTAACCGGCTAACGTTAGTTGTCTGATATACGTTAATGTATTAGCCAACCTGACCTTAGCTTGCTAAGGTAACGTTAGCCACAAGTCAAACCTCAGGCGTAGTAAAGTGAACACTACTGTGTCCAGAGTCAAGTGTTTATCTATTGCCATGTGTCACGCTAAAGTCACTGATAATGCCTGGCTATTAACTACGTAGACTGTAGGGATGTACGCAGTTAATACACATAGAAGGGTCGGTATGTGGCTCAGGTAAGTCAGCGTTACTGTTAGCAGAACTGCTTCCCCAGCTAAACATGTTTTAACTGGTTCAACAAACCCCCAAGACCAACCCCTTGATACATCCCTTTGAAAAAAAACACGCATTTAAAATGCAAGAGACTTGTGGAGACTCGTCAATGCACACCGGAGCAGGGTACTCGGTCACTGTGGGCGGATTACTCACAGCAGAACATTTCTCGAGACTTTCTCTCACCTCTGTGGGAGGCGTTTTAACGCTCAGTTTATTTTTGTTTAAACATTCACTTATACGTAAACTATGATTGACTGAAATTGGTTGTGTTAAAACGAGGAGAGTGTGGATAAACTATATCCCCAAAATCTAATGCTTTTAACTTATTGCTATTACGGTTCGCAACACAGCTATGGTGTTGTAACAAGGGGTTATTTCATAATGTGTCATTTGTTCATGCCTCTGACGTCTTTATAGCCTGCTATTGTTGTAGTGTTCAAAGTTATTTCAATGACTTCAACAGACTCAAGAAGATGCATGGATGAACATCTTTATAGTGATCTCAAATAGTTAAATTGTTGCAAAATGTTTCATTTTAACACAGCACTCTATTACTTGGACCTTGACCCCATACTCAGAGAATAGACAATACAATATGATCTTTGTTAGTCTTATCTGTCATTGACTGTAGAGAATGCATATACATTCAGGCAATAAGTTATGATAGAGTTTTAGTATTTAAGAGCTTTAGCTTACTATCTAACCGCTGTTTGTTTTTCTGCAGGTTGCTGTGTCACTCAGTAAGTCTTTGCCAAGAAGTTTCCACATGCTTTGACCCGACCTGCCAGGAAGTGCTTTTACTTTCACACACAGACAGACTTCTGCTGAGCCCCTCTCTCTCAGTCCAAGTACTGCATGCACACAATCTCCAACACTCACTGACCAGCTACAGCAAACACACACAAACCTAAGCTAACCCTTCTAAGCTAGGGATACCAACACACATATCGCCACCCCCCCTTCTGCTACCTCTTCTGCTTTTCCGTGCTCCTCCCCTCTACATACCTCTGGAGCAATGCAAGCGTCTCTGCTCTTGCTGAATTATGAATCAGGCAAACCACACTGAGGACCTCCATCGCTCTCCCACTGAGCTCCTGAGCCGTGCAACTGGTCACATCTCAGCTTGATGGCCATAGGATAACATGTATGGACATTTGTTTTTTTCATCACATATTTCTTTTGGACCCATTCTGATTTTACTGATGACTCCTGCCTACTCTTCAATTATTTGCAATTCATTGGCTTTCAACCCAGAAGGTGCTGACCACCAGACATGCTATTTAATATGAATAATATTTCTGGATATCTTTGCAGACACTGAATGATCAAGATGAAACGGATGGACAATTGTCAACTTTCAACTTGTTGTATTTACATTTAATAACATTGAACAGTTCTGCTCCAAGTATTGAAAATAGTAGAAATACATATTTGTACACTAATATCAGCCATTCAACAAAGTAAACCCATTACCAGACTGTAATGGGAGGAAAAGCAGAGGAGAGGGGGGCATATGGCCTTCCAGAGTGGAGGAAACCCAGGGAAGAAGCAGAAGAGAGTGACAGCGAGAAGGATGTGGAAGAAGTGGGCAGAGTTATGCACATCCCTCTGCATCGCTGGGTGATGCACGGAGCAGTGATGTTCGGACGGGAATTCTGCTACGCCATGGAAACCGCCCTGGTTACGCCAGTGCTGCTGCAGATAGGTAAGGAGATGCTTACTGTCATATAAAGAGAGACACTGTTGCTCTTCACTCGCTTCAACGAATGTTCTAGTAATGCCACTTTGTCATACATTCAAGTTTCAAGGCTTTTATTGTCACGTGTGCATAGCTACAGTGTAGATATGACAATGAAAATATTAAGTCATAGGCTCCTCCAACAGTGCAACACAATAAACAGATACAATAGTACAAGTAAATAAAATATAATAGAAACAGAATGTGATGGAAACTGTGCAGAATAGTCTATATACAGTAATTGGAATATTGATATATATGATATATGTGAGTTGCAAACAGATGAATGTTATGTATGTTCTTTCAAAAGTGCAGGTGTTTAACATTCTTATAGCCTGTGGGATGAAACTGTCCCTGAGTCTGGTGGTTTTAGACCTCATGCTGTGGTAACGCCTGCCAGACGGCAGCAGACAGAACAGTTTTACATATCTACACATACAAATTCAATGAAACTTACCGCACTGGAATTTTTACATTCTTAATTGTATTGGCCCATTCTGTGCACCTTGTTGTGATCGGTATGGGACAACAATTTGTAGGAACAGATGGCTTCGTGCCACTGACAAGCACACATACCTGTCTAAAAAGACATTCCTCAGTTTATTCAGAGGTATTTAAACCCTCCCTCACAAGTTACACAGTGGTAGAGTATCAGTGAAGCCATATATTGTTTTAAGCTGTTTAACACTAGATGTAATGTGTAGCAGGTTCTGTTAGTGATATATCTGTGGCAGTGCTCCCCTGGTTAGTGTCAGGAAAGTGGCAGACCCACTTTGACTGTTTGCCCAGAGTCAGCTGAGAGCGTCCTGTTATGGGTTAATTGTTTATAAATATATAAGTATAATTGGCTTATTGTTTAAACCTACTCCAGCTATCCAAAAGGATAGGCCCATCAGTCTGTATTCCAGCTGTACCAGTATTCAGGTAACAGCACGACCACGGTGGAATTTGACTGTTGTTTCACAGCCAGACATGATCTATTGATTTCCCAGACTGCACCACTGTGTCATGTAACTTGTCTGCCCAACAGTAGTCAACCATGGGCTATGCAGTTAGATGTAGATGAGGTTTGCCAACATAGCAGAAATTGAACAAAGGTATTTTCCCCTGGCTAGGTATGACAAGAATGCCTAACAAAGCAAATGTTAGCCTCTCCACATTTCTCCCTATTCTCATTATTGTAAGAAAGGTTATATTTGAAAATCTTTTATGCACATCCCATTGAGGATGTGTTTGAAAGCATTGTTTAGGTAGTACTGCAGCATTTATAACATTGAACTCAAGCAGGATGTTCCTCCTAGCCTTCATGCAACACATTGAATGACTGAGTCATATATCTGATTAAATGTGCCCTGTGGAGTTGTTCTTAAAACAAATAAAAGTCATGTTGGCACACAGTGTTACTCACTAAAACACAATGTGTTGCCCTTAAGGTCTAACAAACGTCTTGAATGCATTTCCGTCTGATTCATAGGGCTACTACAGGTCAAAAACTCCTAATGGTACCCAAGAGAGGTATTGCTATAATTCTAGCTGTGTTGTTGTCTTAAGAGAGGGAAAGCAGGAGCAGAGTAAGGCAGCATGGGTAACATGTTGTTCCCGTGAGAACCAGTCACACCACCCAGCGAGCTGCCTGAGTTTAAGAATGTCCGTTTCTTACATTGAAACCACGTCTTTATAAGGATTGGAAAACCAGGATATAGTCATTTAGCAGAGACATTTGTTATCATAACTGCCAGCTGAGAGCTGGGCATTGTCTACAATAAATCTTCCATATATTTGGGCCAAACTAGTACACTGAAAAAGATTAAGCCACATTGATATTGAAATAGCTGCAAGATAAGGATGACTGTTCCCTGTTTTTAGTGCATGCTAAAGCCTAGTTCTGTCTCACAACTGGCGGGGATTTCACCACTTTCCTGGCTGGTTGGTGCATATTTCTGTTTTGTTGTAACAGGCAACCTCATTATCTGAAATGCTCTTGCCACTGTAGACACATTGGTAAAGAAAGCGTATTAAGAGCACTCGTGGTTTTGAATGCATTGGTATGTGAAAGCTGTCACGTTAGATCGAGTAGATCATAGGAAAACATGCACACTTCTCTGCTGAGACAGTTTGATCTATTATAGGCCCCTAGATGACAAACATATAAACACCTTGTCTTATTGATGAGTATTCTACAAAAATGACAGGAAAAAACAGAGCTGTGTAATTGATCACACGAAACATTGGCGCTCATATCCGTCTTTCAGTCAGCAGTAGTTAACTACAGTTTAAAAAATACTATGTCAATCAGATTAATCTCATTGAAAATCTTGAACAGATCTCAGCATCATACAGTACAGCATATATTAAAAGATCAGTGTAAAGGAACTTTTTTTTGTTGTTGCCATATCTCAATGATATAGCCTTTAGTGCAACATGAACACAAAAGACAAGCTATGTAATATAATTTAATCTGGTTTGACATAGTCACACATAAGCGTACTTTCACTTTATCTTAATATTGAATCTACCATTTGTTTGTGTGTGTTTTTTGTAGGTCTCCCCGAGCAATATTACAGCTTAACCTGGTTCCTCAGTCCTATCCTGGGTCTCCTCCTCACGCCTGTGATTGGCTCAGCCAGTGACCGGTGTACTCTGCGAATCGGCCGGAGAAGACCATTCATTCTGGCCCTGTGTGTAGGCGTGCTGCTGGGAGTGGCACTCTTCTTAAATGGATCAGTAATAGGTGAGTAGACGGTTCCAATGAGATTGCCATCTGAATTTTAGAACAAATAATGTTTACACTCCATCTTTGTTTAATTTCGATGTGTTCTGTTAGGCCTTTCCCTTGGTGATACTCCCAGCAGCCAGCCAATCGGCATCGTGCTCACTGTATTAGGTGTGGTGGTGCTGGACTTCAGTGCGGATGCTTCCGAGGGACCAATCAGAGCGTACCTTCTGGATGTTGCTGACACCGACGAGCAAGATATGGCTCTGAATATTCATGCCTTCTCTGCTGGTAAGACAGCATGCATGTAGGGACTCCAACATACTGTCCACATAGATCAGTAAAATGATCAACTATTAAATAACACATAAGAAGTGCATACATATACATCGTCATGCATTTACAGTATAAGTGATATCACCTACATAATGAGTTTACAAATGTTCTACACATAGAGGCAGTACCTTTTTATAAGCTGCTCATACTTGTCCTTGTTTCTTAGACTTTGCACACTTTAACATGTGTCCATTGCTGTCTCTCCAGGACTGGGCGGGGCAGTGGGCTACATGCTGGGAGGTCTAGACTGGACTGGCACAGCTCTGGGCCAAGCATTTAAAGAACAGGAACAGGTGCTCTTCCTGTTCGCAGGCATCATCTTTATTATCTCCGTCACTCTGCACATGTTCAGTATCCCCGAGCAATCTTTCGCTCCGTCCGACCGGCTTAAAGTCACAGGAAGGGCGTCCACCAGTCAGTTGTCTTTCAGACCTGTTGGTCACTCGGCACCTTTCCTTGATGTGATAGCGGAGGAGGATGCTTCTGCTCGAGCGTCTTCCCAGCAGGACAACGAATCGGATTCGGAGGAAGGTGGCATGGACTTCCTGGCTGTGGAAAGAGTGCGGAGTAAAAGCGACTCAGTCTTAGCCATGCCAGACGCTACAATCGAGATGGATTCTGATCTCGATCCAGACTCACAACATTTCCTGACAGAGGTGCATCGCTTTCTACCAGAGACGCATGCAGAGCTACAAGATGCTTTTCAGCCATCAGATCACATTATTGGGACCCTTTCTCCTTCTGGTGGACTCCCCGACCGTACTGATGGGATGGTAGCCTCTAAAAATCCAGCTTGTACTGACTCGAAGGGTTCAACAAACCTTCAGATACATTCTGGTTCAGAGAACTCAAACCTAAAAAAACAGGTAACATCTCACGATTATGTTCTATATTGTCTCTTGGACAGTATATGGAACTTTTGTGCTGCGTTTCAGATATTTTGTCCCATGTATTCAGTTTAATTTGTTCTTTTAATACATCTGTTCCTCTCTTGTGTCCCAGCAGATCAAGGCTTTCAACGGTGCCAATGCGAGCTTGTCCTCTTCTGACCATTCCAGTGAAATTAAAGACAACGCCCCCACTAAGCTGCTGACCAAGACCTCAGTTTCCTCACGCCCACACCCACACACCTTCTACAGACAGGTACAATTGCATTAACCATTTTCACATCTACTTTCTATAATAGTATTTTGGTAAATGTGAAAAAGCTCATGTTTTTTTTTCCTCTTTAGCCCTCCTTCACTTTTTCCTACTATGGACGAGTGGGATCACAGCGATATCGACTGCGAAAGGCAGCGCCCTTGAGCCCTCGGCCAATCACCACCTCCCAGAGTCTGAATGACCTGAGCGAGCTCCATCGGCGTGCCGACCGGCGGGAGCTGCAGCTGTCAGCGAGCAGCCTCTCATCTGAGGGCTCCAGCGCTGAGGGAGGACCAGACAAGGGCACCACTGTTCGGCTGCTCTGGTTATCCATGTTCAAGGTGAAGTAAATAAGAAGTGTCCTTAATATTTATGTGTTTTTGACCTTCCCCTATTTTACTATTGCACTGCATCACATTCACAACCTTATTAGGTTTGCGGTTGCAAATTAATTATTCAAACACATTTTTGTGAAATTCATCCTTCATGTTTCCCCTGCTAGTCTTGAGTTCTTGTTTCTTTTTTGTTCTCCGTAGATGCCGAGGCAGCTGTGGACATTGTGTGTGTGTCACCTCCTCACATGGTTCTCCATTATCGCTGAAGCTGTGTTTTACACTGATTTCATGGGGCAGGTCATCTACCATGGAGACCCAAGGGTACACACACACACACTCACACATCGTATTGTTCAAGACACTTGTGCTAACTGATTGCATGTCACACTATTCATGTTTGCCAATCAAACATTACAATGTCAGTTAACTTACCCAGTCTATGATGATTGCATTGCTAAAATGATCCAACTTTTTTTCAGGCACCATCCAATTCCACAGAGCTACTCAACTATCACAGAGGAGTACAGATGGGCTGCTGGGGGCTGGTGGTCTACGCTGCTACTGCTGCTGTCTGCTCTGGTATAACCTAAACCTACATTTCAATCTCATAATTGCTGTATTTACAAATAGTAAAATATGAATAAATGTTTCCCCTCCCTTTTCTATCAATCTTACCCACGCTGTCTTTATTAATTTATATTTTCTTGTCATCTCTCCACTCAGCAATCCTTCAGAAGTACCTGGATAACTTTGATCTGAGCATTAAGATTATCTACATTGTTGGAACTCTTGGATTCTCAATAGGTACATTTCCACAAGAGAATAAACAGCTGACTATAATGTTGTGAAGTTGGTTATGGACCAGTTGTCTTAATGGGTATGCAGAATAAAAGGAAATGTAATTTAAACAGATTTAATCTTTCTGAATTTAGGAACGGCTGTCATGGCGATCTTCCCTAATGTTTATGTTGCCATGGTGATGATCAGTAGCATGGGCATCATCTCCATGAGTATCTCCTACTGCCCCTACGCATTACTCGGGCAGTACCATGAGATCAAAGAGGTATGTACAGAAACAGACAATAAACTCAAATATCCACGCACGCTGTCAGAACCTGGAGATACAAAAGAATACATGAGAGTACTGAACACACTTACAAACACAAATATTTAAGATTTTATGTTTTTATTTGTTTAATTTAACCTTGGAACATCACTAAAGTATTTGCAGTTTTCAAAACTTTGAAATGTGTAAACATTAAAGCTAGCTCAGTCACTAAGTGTTTGAATCCCACAGCATCGTCAGTTAATGTAGTTTTTGTTCTGTATCATTACTTTTTAGATTAAGGTGTATTAAAAAAAATGTCATGTGTTTGCCCTGTCTGTAAACTACTCAACATTATAGTACTTTTAAACCTAGACGCTGACAATCTACAGTACGGTTTATGGTACTCTCTTCTTTGTCCCTCTCCTCAGTACATTCACCACAGCCCAGCAAACACAAGAAGAGGTTTTGGGATTGACTGCGCTATCTTGTCCTGCCAGGTGAGCATTTATACTCTTTCCCCCTTCAGCTCTGAACTTAAACTGATCCAGTCGTGTCCAGACAAATTAGATTGTGATATTCAAAAAAGCATCAACTAACGACGACCTAGTGATAAATGGACTTTGATTCGGATACGTCATGTTTAGGGCTGTGAGCTTAAATAACTGGACGTTTCTTTTCTAACTTTGCCTCATATTCAGGTTTTTCTGCTGTTAATAAGAAGCAATGGAAAGTATGAATGTCCTCACAGTGTGTACTTTTCTGTTGTGTCATTCTATCTTGTTTCTTTTCTAGGTCTATGTCAGCCAGATCTTGGTTGCATCGGCCCTCGGCGCTGTGGTAGATGCAGTTGGGAGTGTGCGTGTCATTCCTGCAGTTGCCTCCGGGGGCGCCTTCCTGGGCTTCCTCACTGCCTGTTTCCTGGTCATTTATCCTGATTTAGAGCCGAGCAGCTCAGAGACCAACCAGGCCTTGGTGGGTTTACCTGGAGAGCCAGAAGAAAATGGAAAAAAGAACAGTGACCAGAGGTTGGCTCTGCTGAGCCTCACAGATGGGGAAAGTTTGAAAAAGACTGAGAAGGACACAGTTGCCTGAGCATTAACATGTCAAGCCCCACTATGTGAGGATTATACCAAATGTCTGTGCCTTTCTGATTGAGGGAGTATATTGAAAAGAGAGAAAACATGGCAGACCGTGTATTCCCATCTACAGAAATGTAGGCTGGGTGGATTTGAATGGAGAATCTTTTTTTGAGTAGAGGACTGACCAAAAGAAACAGTGTTGGGCTGCTATGCCTGTCTTATTGCTACCTCCTCCTTAAAACAAATACAAGTTTGGATGGCTAGATGGATAGAAGTGAGCCATTAGTGAATTGGTGAGACTGTTCAAACTAACTTAGCTCGGACTACTGAAACAAATGTAAGCCTTTATTGCGAAAACACAAATGGGAAGCACGCAAAGCACTTTCTATCTTTATTTCACAGAGGCTCCTCCATTAGTGCTTAATGGACAATCATAGTGCTGTGAAAGTGCGTGTGCATTACATGTAGACTGAATACAGATGTTCATATATGTTCCAGTCTGTTAAGGGAATACCTTTGATGGAAGATAGGGTTATTATTTTGTTATTTAGGAAATTGCCAGAAAGTTTCAAAACAACATTCAAAGCCTTTTACATTTGTTCAAGACCCACAACCTTTTTTTTTTATTCACTTTTTTAATTCATTTTATTAATGCATAGAACGGTAGTGTGCAGTATGAAGTGACCTTTTATGACAACACTTTGTTTTTTCATATTGTAGTAAGAATTAAGCCAGCAGCTGTCAATGTATGTTTTGCTCTACTGTTGAGTGCAATGCAAAGTCTATCACAATACATTTTGCATTGCATTTTTTACCAATAGTGTAACATGGATTCTAACTTTCTTTTGGGTTTCACTGGGATTTGTTTTAGAGGTGGCATTTGTTTTGCTTTTTCTTGAATTATATCAAAACATTTTTTTGTAATATACATTCCAAATACAGTTGAAAGGAGAAACACCATCATCAGGGTACATACAGTATGTAACATCCATTAGTTAGAGTGCCAAACCTATCATTTGACCTGACCTGATGTACACAGTGGTCAAATATCAAGATGAATAGCTGCCATACTGCCAGGATTCAGCTTCCTTTAGAATAACTAACATGTTTGGAAACAGAGACGGTCTGTAAAGGATTATTGTTAACATTTAGCAGAATGCAAGATAATGGTTAGCATAGTCCCCATTCTCAGTGTCACAAACTGAGTGCAGTGTGCATAGTGTCATAATCTACAGATGTTCAACCTTAATTCAACAGTTTTTTTCAGCATCTTCAGTAAACTTTGCCAGTTAGTATACATGTCTTGCTCAGCCTTAAGTCTACTTATAAGAACAATATTTATTTATTTAGGGCGGTTTTAAGCTATATCGTCTACTCTAAAACATGCACTGCATATTGACGACTTCTATGCAAGGCCACCGACTGATCTATGCAAACTTGAAATTTCCCTGACTGGGATGTGGTGACCAAATGAAACGTTTTAGAGGACAACCAGAAAGACAAGTGCACTACAGCTTTTATTCCTTTAGCACTTACTTAGTTCAATGTAATTTAGCTTTAGCTGGTCTACATGTTTCAAAGATCTTTCTATCTCAGCAAGAAGCTTTTTAGGAAAACACTTAATTTCAAGTGTTTCTAGAAACAGGCCCCTGACTTATTGAAATCGTTTTGGTTTTATACAAATGTTAAGATGTTTAGGATGCTAATACTATTTTATGTTTTGGTTTGAAAGTCAATCCCTTGTGTGATTTTAAAGGGATCTTTTAATAATTTTGCTGCTACACAAACTTTTGTACTTTGTAAACAAGACATTTTTGTACCAATTGTTTTGGTATTGGTAAAAAAAAGAATGAATGCACCTTCACTTGTGTCTCTTGTTCTGCATGTAGTCTTCATTTCTTCTTTTCATTATTTCACTAATGTTTGCAAAAGTCATAATGGAGATAAAATAACCTCCCTTCAATGCAATTAACCAAAGAAAAATAATTATTGATATAAGTAGGGTGCAATAAAACAATTTATAAGTTAATGGAATAGTTAAACATCTGTCATGGCACCTCTCTTACCCTTGACAGACAGAGAGACTAAGTATTGGAAGGGTTTGGTAATGTCTCAGGATAATATTTTGACCAGGGACTAAATGTATCCTTTGGACAGAAAACAAAATACTCTTATCTTTAGTAAATGAGAAAGTCAGCTAAATGTTCTTACAGCTCACCAGAGACAAAAATGTATAATCTTCAAAACCGCTAAAATAAACATACTTAATTTGTCACAAATTCAAGATACAATTCACAAAGCGTGTTTCAACAGAGTTCATCAGTGAGGTTAATCTAATAAAACCATTCCTCAATACAATACAAATAATCCCTTTCTGCAAACTGATTCTGAATGTGATTTGATGATTAATATTTGATCCATAATGTGAAAATCATATATGTTTCACATATTTGTAAAATGATTGGGGATGGTATTTTACCTGTTGTGGCTTCTTTTTTTTATTTCACTAAACAAGGTAGCCTACTGTATACTTTGCAGATGGAGTACTTCCCGGCTGACTGTATCTCAAGCTGTATTAATCAACCACCACCATCTTCAGGGCAGAGTGTGTTATTACAATAGGATCAATCCATAAAGAAATACAATTGTATTATTTGTCCGAGACAATGTTGTGTTTAAATGATGGAATCACAGCTGCTAATGTCTATTATCATTATCATGTTCAAGTCAATTCAGTTTTCAAAGAGTTTAAAATTAGAACCTAGTTATGGTACACTATATCTGAAATGCAGAATATCTTGGAGGCTGGACGTTTCTGTTCTGTAATTTATACATGATATGATACTGCATTTTGCTTCCTCATATCAATGCGCATGTTTGTAGTCACAGAGAAACAGGAAGCGGAGTGACAGGCGGTAAAGGGTAAACATGGGAGCCGGGATGAGCTCGTGCCATTCAGTCGCGAGGAGTTGGCTGCGCAGCTGGATTGAGTTTATCTCCGCACTGCTGTCCTGAAAGGGAAGAGAGATGAATGAGGAAGCGCACGGTTCGTTTTGAGGAGGTGAGTGTCCAGAAAGTCTAACTTGACATTTATAACACGTTACTTTAGCCGTGTTTAAAGCTAAAAACTTAAAGCATCCTCTCACCTGTGCAGCTTGTGACTCAGGGTCACGTGTCACAGCTGCAATAAAAAACAATAGCTAAACTTTATGAGTAAAACTTAGCTTGATTCAACATAATTTGCTTCACTGTTATCCTGTTTAGACATGTTGGCATGGAGGCATGTGCAGAAATGTGATTGAAAGTGTACATGTTGTCATGTTAATCATGTATACAATGATGTTTTTGTTTTGCTGTGTGCCAGTGATCTATTTTTAACTCTGCCCTATTGTAACAACTGTATCAGGCAGTTGGTGTTTCCTCTACAGGTGTTCCTCACATTAGCTGCAGTGCAGACTGTAGTATGGCCATAGACTGTCCATCAACTTTATTTTAAGCAGATCATAGAGTGATGTGTAAGAGGCAATTGTTTTGCAGTTATTTTTACATAATTTGCTGTGAAGGTCGGATATATATTTTTAGTTCATGTCTCTGTTTGCCAGCTTGTTCTTCTCATCTGCTTTGTGTAAATACTTCACGCTAGTTTCCTGTGTTTAAGGGCACATGTGATTTGGATTATGCAGTAAATCAGTCCCATTGCAAGCTTTACCACCTCAAGGATTGAAGGTATAGATGTGTGTTCATGTCATTATGTCAGAATATGTAACACTTTTATAATGTTTTCATGGTTTGATGTGGAATGTGTCCAGTCGGTCAAGGCTCATATGATTGTAATGGGCTGCATATAATGATGATCACATCAGATCCTTGGAATGAGGCATCAGGTTTATTTAATGGGTTATTAGTTCTGTAATGCTGAACATTCATGCTGCTGAAGTTTTCATTTTGAATGAGTAAACACTTCTGTTTCAACAGTGAACCATTTTTCATGATGATTTAAAAGTAAAATGAGTATAAAAACAATACATGTAAACAAATCATAGTTAGGAATAATGTATTTCCTAAAGAGAGCACTTGAGGTTATTTTGTGCAGCTCAGTTTTAGCCATAAAAGTGCCTTTTATTTTTTTAACCTCAGTACAAGTCTGCCTCCGTCAAATTTGCATGGGGTTTTCCTATATGTTTCTTCTGTTGCGCATGTTATCACGTGCACATTTCACAGATGAGCCACATTTTCCAAGATTTCCAGACGAGATTAACAAACAGGGAACATTGATTTAAAATAACCCTAAAAAGCAGTATACCAAAATTGGAAAAAAATAACTCCATACATGGGATATAGGATAATGCATCTTTATCACATGATGTGAATCTGCAGTGAAAAAGCTAATTAAATTACGAGTGACATCCTGTTTCCTGCATTTCCCCAAAGAGCTTTCATCAGCCCAACTAATTCTATTATGTTCCTGATTTGTCATATAGATAAAGAGGAACTTCATGAGGGCCGCTGGGGCCACAAACTAAAAGGGTCCCGCTGAAAGTATCCATGGCAACAATTATATAAAGGTCACTTTTTCATTCTGTTTTCTTTAAACATGGAGTTTCCTGCCATTCTCTTTGTTATATTTTGCAACATTCAAAACGAATTGATTGATGAGAAGTGAGCATGAGTGTAGTAGAAATGGAAGGAAAGAAAGGCAAAGGAAGAGTTGGGCGATCCGCTCTGAAGACTTTGATTTGTAGAGTTTAAAGCAGTACATTCAAATTGCAGGTTGTCACAGGTTTTTAGAATATGGCAAGAGTACTAAAAGCTTAATGCCACCCTGGAGCATTTTCAGGTGTTTGAGAGCTTCCTGAAGAGTATCATCTTGTATTTCAAGACTAAAGTGTATTATATCACATTAAAGTGAATATATTTAGATTTTTGTCTTGAAAATAACAGACATTTAAAGACATTATCTTGCCTATGTCCCACCTTGATTTCTGCCTCTTCAACCCACTGTTTACCCTCTTTCCCCTACATCCTTGTCTCCATGCTCTGTCTGACTAGTCAATACCATTTCTGTTGTCATTGACGCCCGCTCTGTTCTGTACCCGTTGGGGAATATTTGCTGCTGAGCCAAACCATTAAATATCTTGACTAAGGAAATAAAAGTTTTCTCTGACTGAAGTGGCCCTGCCTAAAATGTCGCACTGTGTTGTTGTTGATGAGTACATCTGCGGTGATAATGAGCTGGAACAAGCACTAACGTGTCATGTGTTGTGACTTTATGTATCTGGTAAATGTTTTCATGCAGAACGATGAAGATGAGAGAGCTGCGACAACTCTCTGCCTTTTTAACACATAATCTTTTCTGTCATCTTGAATGTCTTTTCTTTGTCTGCTTCTATGACTGATCCTCTGTTTCTTTCTTTAAACGTTCAGTGGTTGTGATCGCTCAGGTCTGATTTGGCACCCTGGTCTGGTTTTGTTGGTCCATCTGGAGCCTGGGTTGGTGTCAGTGATGGCCGACCATCTTCCTCCTGCTCTGCTGGAGGCCTGTGTGGTGTTAGGAGCCTCTAGTGACAAACTCAGTGAGCTCTATCAGGTATCTGCCTCTAAAACACACCGGCCATAAGTGGGACTGATGTACTGTAAACTAAGAAATTGGTCATGAGAACTCAAATTTGTTCTTTTTGAAGTTTTTACATGAAAAGGTTTTTTTTTAATTAATGAGAATGGTTAATAACCCTTACTCTTATGAAACAAAATGACTGCAACATCAACAACAACAGGAATGTTTAACTGGTGTTTCCAAGTGTACTGTCTGTATCTTGAATGTCCACATCTATAAAGACAAAATGTGCCTAAGAAAAAAAGTCATAAGCTAATTATTATTAGAGGATACACATATAACAATTGTCTTTGTTATTTTAGGCTCACCAAGAAAGACCATTGTCAAGGCAACATTACTCATTGGTCCAGAGAACAAAAGAGCATGAATAATGCCCTAATACTAATAATGCTATAAAGCCATACCACCTTTTCCAATTAAGTTATCAGCTTTAGGATATCAGCATTTTAAATGTTTTCCTTCTTTCTTCTATTAAAATATCTACATACATAGAATATGGGTAATGTAACATATATCAAAGTAAGCTATAAAAAGAATAGAGCCCCTCCAAATACTTTCCTTTCTGTCTCCCACTCAGGCCGTTGACAATAATGAAGCCCCAGACCTCCTCCTGTTGGAGCCCGAGGTTCTGCATGTCCTGGCGCCTCCCTTCGTTTGCAGACCGCAGGATGAGAGTGATACGTTGAGGTCACAAGGGAGGAGGCGGCGGCCCTTTCTCAGGAAGAAGAGGGAACATCCTTCAGCTGCAGAGACCCCCAGCCAAGGTCTGGTACTTCTATCCACACTTAGCCATACTGTACAACAGGTCTTAGTGTTTGAACTAGGTTGGATGATTTCTCCCTGGCTTAACTTTATCCATGTTATAATTGGTGAGTTGTGTAATTTTGTTTTGTTTTATTTTAGCAGGTGGCATAGGAGAGAGTGAGGATGTCAGTGTACCGAATGACATCGACCTCATGGCTTTACCCCAACTCTGCTTCCCGGGTATTTTCATAATATATCATATTCACACGCTCGCACAAATTTGGTTAAATAAAAGAGATATTTGAATTTGCATGCATTTTGATAGTAGCACAAAAGGGATAATTTGTAAATGTAGTATATCATGCCTGTGTATTAACAAGTAGGATACTTTTTTCCTGTTTCCAGGTGGGCTCCAAGTAACTAATGAGCAGAAAGACGAACAATTCCACTTCCTGGTTTTCACTGATGTCTTTGGCAACAAGACCCATGGAGTAGTAATGCACTGT